ACGATGCTGTTTGCAAATTTCACCCTCTCGTGTCCACCGAAGACAATGTTTCCCATTTGATTCTCTGGTTGCTTCTGCAACCGGATCTTCATACGGTACTCCATTTCTTACAGCGCAGCGTGCCAACGACAAGGTGATGATCGATTGATAGCTCGGCGCCTCTTTTAACACGAACATGCATTACTGAGCGTCTTAAGTCAGACGATACGATTATCAAATCGATCATCGACTTCTGTGCACAAGCTTACCGGTACCAGGTGTACTGATGCACTTTACGATGCTCGAAGAAGGTATTCATAATGGACCATCCGTTGTTTGCTCAAAACCGCACTAACTTCATGCCGTTATTGTTGAGGTCGCTAGGGCCGTTTTTCCCATCACGCCGTTCCACTTTTCAACATCTGCTCCGACGTGCGCTTGAAAATCGCCCATCAACATGAGGGACTCTGTATTAGGCACTTCGGACGGAGCACTCTGCTCTTTAACATATTGATGTCCAATTCCTATGAGCAAGAAATTTCTACCATATATCCATATAAGCAGCCTAATAAGTCTAAACAAGTCGATAAACTACGAACATTTGGATGTAATAATCGTTGGAATGCAACTGACATGCACTTGGTGTATGAAGCGCTTACGGTTGTAATTTTCCTCACTCCAGTTGACGTCTAAATAGGCGCATAATGCTCAGCGTACATCTCAAGCAAGGTTTGTGCGTATTACTTCCTAACATGAGACTCAAATGTTCACAGTAAAGGTTGAGTTGGCAACAGAATACAACTGAATAAATATAATGCAGAGTTACTATTTTTGAAAGTTTGTTGCGGTTACAGGGAATATCGTCTCGTTAAAATCCGTTGAACAGGCCAAAAGCTTTGTAGTACTTCTTATTTTGCTGTATCGTTAAAAGGCTATAAAGACAAATAAGAAAAAACTAAACAATTTTTCTTGTGTTCGCATTTGCATACGATTACGCTAATAACAAATAATTTTGGCCAAAAACAGCACGACACTTTGAAAAACAAGTCAGACGACTTACTTAATAATAATTGCGTAATCTAATATTTCTAAGGATAGAAAGGTTAACTTTTTATTCGCTACAGAGATTTCGGAACCCTTTTTCTTTAAAAAAACCTAGATTCAATATGATTATCAACAAATGATAAGTTCTTCTTGCATTAATTTCATTGACCTGTACATTTAGTTTATTAACTTAAACGGCTATTATCTAATGATTTGATTTAAGAAGCGAAACATATCCGTCCATTAACACTTGCCTTGGCATTTTTCTCGATGTGCATTTGTTAGAACATACATTGGTACATTCCCGTAATAAATAACAAGCATCCTTTTTTAACTTGAAAATCGTTACCGTCATTGCAATCGGATGTAGGAAGCGTTTTTCGTGACAGAATGCCGTCAACTGGAGGAGTATTGAATATCTTGAATCTGTCCCAAAAGTGGAAGGTAGACTTTACCTTGCCAAGGTCTCAGAAAGAAAATAGAGCCGCGTCAGTGTCGAACCCGCCTGGCTTCACGCCTGGTGCGGTACAAGTGGCAGATTCCGGAGCACGCGACGGTGACAAACACCTGCTGTCGAAGCGGGCGTGGGATATTGCTTTAGGGCCGTTGAAGCAGTTACCCATGAACTTGTTCATTATGTATATGGCAGGCAACTCTATATCTATCTTTCCGATCATGATGGTTGGCATGATGCTGGTGCGCCCGGTGAAAGCGTTGCTCTCAACAAACAGCATCTTTCGAGGCCTAAACGATTCGAACAAGTCGGCACTGATCGGCGAAAAGATGGTTTTCGTGCTTGGCAATCTGTTAGGTGTGGCCGTGGCGTTGTACAAGTGCTCGGCGATGGGGCTGCTGCCCACCCATCAATCGGACTGGCTGGCGTTCGCTACGATGCCCGAACGCATGGAGTACATGGTCGGTGGAATGACCTTCGATTGTTGACTTGATACGCCTTCCATTATCCGAAGAAACACGATCTGTTTGCTTCAGTAATTATTCTACGATTGCTTCCGATCAGCCTTAATCATTCCACATGTACCTCCGACATTTCAATGAAAGCTGCTGCTAGCTGCACCATCTCTCTCTCTGTCCTACAGGTCGTCCCTTCGCTGGACTTGTTTTGTTTTCTTTTTCAATATAAAGATTAGGTATGAACTATTTTTGTGCTGCCGGAATACTTAAAAATTAGTCTAGTGCAACTCTTGTGTCATTGCACCAGTAATTTATTATATATTTGATGTTTCGTACATATGGCCTCTTACCGATTAATCATCACTAGACTCCTCCATTGCTTTCAAGCGTCTGTAGTGTATATTGCCTCTTAAGCAATGTCTGCGTCTGGTTTATCAGTTAGATACCATTTTCATCGCACTGTTATAGAACGAATAATCTTTATATGGGTAGTACGATTTCAGCTCCTCTGGTACGCCACCTTCATCGATTCTCGTTTCGCATTTGATTTCATTCACCATCAAATAATGTGAAGGATCATACACAGCTTCAACATTCGAAGGCAGATTGTTGCCATTATGGAGCGTATGAACGACAGGACGACTATCGTTGTGAAAGCTGGCGTCGTTCACCATGAAGGTCTTTACGCTTGCTCTTCAGTGTAGCAGTAAATTACTACGAAATAGCCCTGAACCGCAGTTTGTAGAATAGCCTCTTGTTGGAAGGGAGGCCAAACTAGAGGATCCTTTCAAAATATTTGACTGATTTGTACTATGCCGATGACATCGTCGTACATGGGCGATAGAAATGACGGTGCTATACCGCTTGCTCAGTGATGCATTGTGCAAAATTGCAACGAAAGCGGACCTCCAGCTGATATCTGCAAAGACAGAAGTGATGAAGACCCAGAAGGTACCGTG